GACCCAACCAAAACCCGAGCCGTGTCTCCAGTTCCAGAGTTCTCGAGAGTCCTCGAGATTTCGAGAGTCCTCGAGACCCAACCAAGGCCCAGAGCCGTGTCTTCAGATCAAACCCACTCCTCGAAAGTCCTCGACAGTCTTCGAGAGTCCTCGAGAGTCCTCGAGCCGTGTCTCCAGTTCCAGAGTTCTCGAGAGTCCTCGAGAGTCCTCGAGGACTCAACCAAGGCCCGAGCCGTGTCTCCAGATCCGGGAGTCCTCGAGAGTCCTCGAGACCCAACCAAGACCCGAGCCGTGTCTGCAGTTCCAGAGTTTGCGGGAGGCCTCGAGAGTCCTCGAATTCCTCGAGACCCAACCAAGACCCGAGCCGTGTCTGCAGTTCCAGAGTCCTCGAGAGTCCTCGAGAGTCCTCGAGAGTCCTCGAGAGTCCTCGAAGACCCGGACCGTGTGTTCACCGTGACTTGGCTGCATAGAGGAACATGACTTCTGAATGCTTTAATCCCAAACACGGCTCGGGTCTTGGTTGGGTCTCGAGGACTCTCGAGGACTCCCGAAGACTCTCGAGGACTCTGGAACTGCAGACACGGCTCGGGTCTTGGTTGGGTCTCGAGGACTCTCGAGGACTCTCGAGGACTCTCGAGAACTCTGGAACTGGAGACACGGCTTGGGGTGCTAATTGGGGGCGCTGATGGGCAAGAGGCTTGCCACTGGGCCAGATTTTGGATGCTAATTGACTCAGACCTGACACATACATATATATTGACTTACACTGCAGCAACCTCGGTTCCGAAACGTGCTGCACGGATGCGCGCGTCTACAAAAACCGTTTCGCTAGACTATGCTCATTCAACGCCAAGGCAGCCATGTCTCCGCTAGGCCTCGCAGTTTCTCACATTTCTGATGCTTTTGCATACGCAACGCTGGTTCCGAAACGTGCTGCACGGATGCGCGCGTCTATATTATATATATATATATATTATAATTTATAATTTATAATTTATAATTATTATTATTATTAATAATAATAATATTAATAATAATAATGTGCCTCAGGATTCATGATTCAGGATTCATATTTCAGGATATTGAAGAACTGAAGAACCATCAGTGAGCCATTCGATCATTCGGAGTTAGGACTTTTAGTACTCTTAGGACTTAGTCATGTAGTCAGCAGTCAGTAAAGTGCCAAAAAATCATCGAGCATCCGTGGAGCATTGAAATTCGTTTAGTCAGTTTGATCGATGGGGTTAGGAATTTGGGGAGTAGGGATCGGACGTGAATCAGTGCAGCTGCATGTTGGTAATCAGCCTAAACCACAGGAGTTGTTTTGGGGCTGATCTGCAGCACAACTGTCCATGCTTGCCAGATCTGTACACATGTTCTTGTGGCATGCGGCACGCGGGGTAGCATTTGGCTTGAGCTAGGGTTGACTGAGTGTGTTCCTCGCGAAGTGAAACAAAGCGCCGTGCTGTGCAACCTCGTTGCATCGTCACTATGGTGCTGAGCGCGTCTTTGTTGCGTATGGGGACTGGTGGAGGTGAGAGTCAGGGTGATGATTCTCACGAGGGCGACGATGATCGGAGCAGCCATCCCGAATCCGGGACGGACGTGGCAGTGCGGAACCCTGCTACTCCCACTCCTGCAAACAAATGCTATCAGTGCGGTCAAGTCGACAGGTACCTCCTCCCCAAACAGGTCCCACTGAAGTGGGCCCGCGTGCGCCAGACGGAGCATGGCCGTGAACCAGATGGGTGGGAATGCTGGGGTTGTGAGGCCAGCAGTCGTAGTAGGACCTATAGGCCTATAGGCTATAGGGTTGGTAGGTCCTGGTAGGTAGTGGGTAGTAGTCGTTAGTAGTTGTTAGTAGTTAGTAATTAGTAAGTAGTAAGTAGTAAGTAGTAAGTAGCTAGTATGGGATGACAAACAAGACTTGAAGGCTTGAAGTGGGAAATGTTCTGAATGCCAACAAGCATGCCAGACAGATGATAGAGAGCTAGGCTTGGCTAGACACACATACATAATTAGATAATAGGGTAGTTAAGATTAGAAGTTAGAAAATATTGAGAACATATTGAATATCTTAATTTATTTCAATCTATAGGAACTAGTAGGAAGTAGGAACTATGTTCAGTGACATAATCTTTATCTGTCCCCCTAGTTCCTAGTTCTAGTTCTAGTGCCTCGAACTAGAAAGAACCTGAAACCCGAACTTCCCGGACCTCCCCCCTGCCAGAAAACTCGGTGCAACAAGTTCGGACGCATCAGTTGCCAAGCGCTAAGAAGCGCCCGCCGGCAATCCACGGAGACTCGCGCTACGTTTTGTGAGAACTTTCGCAGGGGTATGAATCATGAATCATTACATTACTGTAAGCTTCTGATAACATTTGTTTGAAAGGTGTGCTGCTCTATGCACGACTCAGAAATCAGAGTTGTGCTGGTTGAATTACACTTTCGCCAAAAGTGTATACATTTTCGCCGAAAGTGTATACACTTTTGCCGAAAGTGTATGCACTTTCGGCCAAAAGTGTATACAGTATATAACTTATAACGTTTACACTTATAACTTATACTGATATTGATATTGTATACTGGCTTATAATACTTATAACTTATAACTTATAAGATATCATTATACCGTCTATACCACTTATTAATAAGTTATTACTATTACTATTACTCTGAAACTTTCTGAACTCCTTTAAGCCGAGCCTACGCCTTGATGCTTGCGTAAGTGCTGTCTGACGTCTGAGGAAATTGAAGATGCCTTCACCACACATCGGGAAGAATGCGGTATGCCTGGGTCCCGGGTAGTCAAAGGCGACCAGGTGGATGTCAAGAGTATCCTCAAACAGCAAGCCTATGTGGACAAATTCAGGGAGGGAGAGTGGGTACCGCTCTTGGAATACCTTGTGGAAGAGGCAGGCATGCGTCCTGCAGACGTGGATACATTGGCCAAGCAGATGTATGCTGCTGAGCAGGCGCAAAGCCTGAAGAACAGTACCTTTCACAGAATTGTATTGAGTTATGGCCCATGTTATGGCCCAGTCATGGCATGATGAGTTGTATACTTACATTTTGTCACATTGGCTCATACGGTCATAGAGTCATACGAGTCATACATACTGTTACATACTGTCATACTGTCATACTCATTTGGTAGTTTGCAACCTGTGCCTGTGACTGTAACTGTATTCAACTGTGTGTCTAACTTAAACTATACCGTATACCCGTATACCGTATACTAGGTCTCCTCTGCCTTACTTTGTGATTCTGACAGTCTAGACATTTTCCCTGCAGTGGTATACGGTATGTATAAGTGTTACACTATAATCAAATACGTATCAATGCAGCGGCAGGTGTGCAAGGTTCCCATCCACTACGACAACCGCCAGCCGGGCGTCTTGCTATTCAAGGGCAACCGCAAGAAGGTTCGCGTGGGTTGCCGGACTGCAGCCGAGAAGCAGCAGGACTCGACTGATTCAGTGAATAAGAAACATACTTACTTAGCAGGTTTAGTATTTTCGTTCAAGGTTGAATTGATTGCCTTCCATATTCAATGACAATGATGTGCGGCTGTGTGTGTGTGTGCTGCGGCTGTATATCATATAATATACTATGAGACTATGACTATGATTTGATAATCATATGATATGATATTGATATAACTAATACAAAATAATATAATATAACATAACATAAGTTTATGTCTGCAATTTACTGCAATTTTATCAACCTATGAATCTATGTTATAAAAAATATAGTCTAGTGTCTAGTGTTTTACAGAATAAATATCAAGAACCGTGAATTTGATAATCGTATGAAAGGTCTGTGTGGATGTCCTCCGTGTGTGTCTGTGTGTGGTCGGAATACCTTCCTGCCGCGTTCCTGCCTGCTGCAGGAAGACATGGATTATCAAGGGGATGCAGAGGGTGTGCAAAGGATGTTTGGGGAACGAGCCCAAGGACTTGTCCAAATGTCTAACGCAGCGCGCAACATCGATGAAGTGCGCCGTGATGTTGCCAGTCACCTGCAAGCCCGCGAGGCGGGTGATCAGGATGCTCCTGGGCCCGAAGATGCAAATCAGAACGAGGCTGCTTCCCAGCAGATGCTTGATTTCAATATCTTTGATATGGGTGGTGGAACATCTACTGCGGCTGCGAAGGCAAGCAACAAGCGCGCGTCGAAAACACCGGTACCAGCGGCAGCGGCAGAGCCTTTGCTCAACCTCGGTGAAGCCACCGGCAACGGTAGCCAGAACGGACCTCCTAGTCCGGAGCGTCCGACGCAGTTGCCAGGTAAGGGTAAGGGGCGCGGTAAAAATCGCTTGGGAGGAGGAAATCCTTCGGGAGATCTTGCTGGGAATCCAGCCAAGAAGCCAAAGCAGAGCGAGATGGACAAAGCCGATGATCTACTTAGATCAACAAACGAGAAGTTCAACGATGCTATGTTGTGGCAGAGCCGCCCCAAGAAGAAAGAGATCGACAAGCAAGTGAAGTTATTGGGCGACATGGCCTCGAAGGTCTTGTCGATCGGTGATGACGGTGGCTTCCAGAAGAGCAATCTTCTAAATGACAGGTGCTTGGATCTGGAGGCTAAGTTTGATCTCTTCAACAACATCTCCAAGAACGCCAAGGACTTTGTCACGCAGTCCATGGAGGATACAACTTTGCAGATTCTCCTGAACACCGAGGCGACAGTGTTGAACAACATCATTGTGTTCACGGCTACAGAGACGCTGAAGATGACTGACGTGGAGAGCAAGCTAGAGGAGGGCTCCAAGCTTTTCTTCAAAGTCTGCGGCTTCAGCAGTGAGTCAATCATCTCAGTGCGGCTGTTGAAGCTGAAGATTGATCATGATGCTGCTGCTGCGGGCGGCTCTGTTGCTCAGAGCTACGCCGCGGACACAGAGGCTCCTGTCCCGGCTCTGCAGCAGGTGATCTTCAGCATGTGGCTCGACCGAGCTTGCCGTGCTCGCATCCAGCCGAAGTTCACAGCGATGGTGAACCAGCTCCCCCCTTTTATGGATGTCTCAGCAAGTCTTTGATAGGCTGATAGGCTGTGTTTTTTGTCAGTGTGTCATGCGGTCGCGGCATAGGCGGCATAGTGGGATGGTCCGTGGGTGGGTGAGTGCATGCCCCCGTTATTGGGTGCAGTTGTTATTTATGTTCTGCTAGGCTGCTAGCTGTTGCTTAAGTATGCCTGCGAAGCCCTAAGGCCCTAGCCCCTTTCCAATTTATATCCTCGGAGGCCTCTGAGCCTTTGAAGAATTAAATGATGATTCTGACTCCTGACTCCTGACTCCTGACGATAATATACGGTTGATGGACAAAATCCTGCATGACCTTATATACCTAAACTATGTGATCTATGACCTATGGTACTATACTATATTTGGGTCATGCAGGATTTTGTCCATCAACAGTGACAGTAAGTATTATTAATTAGTAACATTACGAAAAAACAAAATTACGAAAATAAAATATAATATTACTATTACTAGACTATTACTATTACTATTACTATTACTATTACTATTACTATTACTAATACTATTACTATTACTATTATATTATTATATTACTATTACTATTACTATGACTATTACTATTACTATAATTAGTTCTAGTTACACAGTAACACAGATAGACAGATAACTCGGATGGCTCCTTTAACTTGTGTGGCTGTCTGCGTCGGGTTGTGAACACCGCACACCGCCTAGACCGTAGACCCTAACTTCGAGGTGTCCTGTGCCGCCAGTTGACTTCAACAAAGTGCAGCTTTCTTGGAAGCCGCCAACGTCCGACATCGGAGACGTTGCAGGAGAATTTTCCAGCTTGATGAAGTTGGATGCGCAAGTCTTACGGACAATGCTGACTGATTGGAGCAAGGCTCTGATTGGGGCCCTGACCATATGTTGACCAGAAGAGGTAGCTGAGATATGTAGCTGAAGCAGTGTAGCAGTAGCAGCGGCGTGGGAAGCATAGGTAGAGACAAACTATATAACTTGGAGAGGAGCTTTATAATTTACAACTTATAACTTTTTTTTATAACATATCATAAAACCTGCCTATAATTTTATATCATATAGTCTATCACTTCTATTTCGGGTTTAGGTACTGGAAAAGAACGTGACGTGTAAATCTCGCCCGGTGTGAAATAACTTCCCACCCCCCCCCCTTCTGGGGGGCCGAACCAGGGGGTTGGAAATGTGGACAAAAGCTGAATCGTTCAAGTGCTCACCAATGTGTTAATGTGTTCATGTTCAAGAAATGTTTGCAAATTTTTGGGGAAACCAATATCGTAATATTGTATAAACCCGGGAATACAATCTCATCCGACCTTTGGTTGGAGTTCCGTCATCTATCAGTCAATCGATCTATGAGTCTATTTCAGTGATACAGTAGCAGTCCAAGCAGCCGTTAATATTATCCAAATTAGTCCATAATGACTAATAATTAATAATGACTCATGACTCATGACTCATGACACCTGGTCACCTAGTCATATTGTTGTTCTATTTAAAGTATTCTTCCGAAATTCTTCCATTAAATGCACCAATGTAATAGTAGCAGTGGTACTAGTTTTTGTGCTAGGCCACGCCACTGGAGACTTTCTTTGCCAAGATGTGCGTTGATCTGAAGGGTGCGTTCAGCGTCCGATTGTCATCGTTGCTCCGTTCGTCAACAGGGACGGCCAGGAGATTGGTTTGATCCGTAGTAAATTATAAAGTATAATTATAATGTCAGTGTTCAGTCGATGATTCATTGAAAGGTGGTTGCTGCACCATTTCGATTTGTGGAGGACTCTTTGGGCTTCGTTGGAGAGCGCTGCCAAACGCGCGGTTACCCCGGCTTCAGTGGTGCAGAATGCACAACAGATCATCCAAGACTTCCCGACTGACTACGTGAAAGAAATGACCGGGTCGCCCTCGACAGGGTCTTTGCGTGCGCTTCTGCATGAGGACTCGCGCGGCTTATTGATTCAGAGATTCTGAGATTCTGAGATCCAGGATCCATATTAAGTTTACAAACTCTTTATGAATAGCGTCTGGTTTTTAACTTGTGCCATGTCTTCTGTCTTCCGGAGGACAAATTTGACAAGATTCAGATGGCCCTTGGCATCATGAAGTCCGTCGAGGTCCTCCCACAGGCCCACACGGCGAACCTGACGGAGCTTGATGAGCTCCGTACAAGCACCTCGAAGTTGGCTGCTAGGCTATGAGGCTATGAGTATGACTGTATGACTCGTATGACAGTATGACTAGTAGTCAGTTTATTTCTGTTACCATTGCTACTACTGCTACTTGTTACTTTTCTACGTCTACTCCTACCTACCTGATCCTACTCCTACTACTACAACTACTACTAGTACGACTACTACTACTGCTACTAATAAACTGATAAACAACAACTATGGTTCGCAATTCACAACTCGTAACAATACGAATGCTTCAACAATTTACCTAAACTAAGCCCCTGGCCTTCAGACGATCCTAGGAGAATTTGGTTCGGGACTACGGGTCCTCGGTCATTGGCCTTCTGGAGACACATTTGACGACGGACTTGTGGATCCAGGGAAAGTTCAAGGATGTGGACCCGCCGGAGAACGCGATTCCGCCGCATAGCGAGCTTGCGGGCCTCACGAAGTGGCTGCTTCACTTCGAGGCCATTGATTTTGCGGATCATTTCAGTGTTCATTATTCCGAGTTCCATTCCGGATTCTAATGACTCACTAATTACTAATTACTAATGGCTGATACTATACTGATACGAGTTTACATTATTGCTGCATGGCACAGGTTTATGCTGGATCGGCGCAACAGCTACAGAAGCTGGTGGCGCTTTGGGCAGAGCTCGAATCGGCATGTTTGTTGCGCTGGACGACAGAGCAGGATCTGACTGTGGACAGCTTCGAAAAGGCGTCCAAGGCCATCGTGCGACTTCAGGAGTCAGCCATGACAGGTGAGTTGGAGCAAGTTCTTTCATTATCGGGAGTTCCAGGCACTACGGCAAATACTACTCACTACATTATAGGATTTGTTAAACCTCTCTTGCTCTGAATTCTTGACTATTGAACTGTTGACATTATTGAATTATTGACCATTGTTGCCTACGTTGCTATTCTACTGTAATTCTACTACTACAATTATTATTATTATTATACAGTACATTATTATTATTATACTATACAGTTATACAGTTATACAGCAGTTATACAGGTTATACAGTCTTTAAAATAATATACTATACTGTACTATACAGTATACAGTATACAGTGTACAGGATACTGTATACAGTTCAATTCAGTTATAGTTATAGTAGTTAGTGAGCCAGTCCATTGCAGCTGGACGTGCAGGTGTTCTCAAGAACGTTGGTGCTCAGATGATCGCTTGTGTCCGAGCCGTGGGCGACCATAAGCTTCAGGTGAAGTGGCTTCGTCGCCTTCTCGAAGCAGGGCACTACGAGGACATTGCAAAGACAGAGAATCTTCGCATTTTGTACCTGGGCAAGGACGCAGATGGGATCCTCCGCACGCTACGCTCTTGCTCAGAGTTGATTGAGATTGACGTTGCCGCGATGGACATGACGGAGAAAGAGTGCATGCGGACCGCCCTAAAGATGTACGTCCAGGTGAAAATGGCTGAGCAAGCTGATGTGGATGCCGCCGGCAAGCAGGAGGCCATGACCAAGCTGGGGGCATTGACAGATCAGCTACGGGAGACCTTCAATTCCGAGGCCGCAAAGTATGATGAAACCCGACAGGGCCGTGCTGAGTGGGTGGCCCAACATGCGTCCATCACAAGCCGTCTTGCAGAGATGGACCCCTCGTTGTTCACGGAGGCCGCGGAGTATGGAAAGGACGAAGCATTCGGAGCCGAGGTGCGGAAGACAACTGAGTGTAGGAAGCTCAGCTGCTTGTTGTCATGTGACAGCGACCAATACAATAGATGATGAGTTCACTCAATTTATGATTGCAATTTTATAATGTGCAGCAGTAAGGCATTGCCGAGCTGAACAAGACGCAGGACCTGTGGAGGATCATTTCGAGCCATGAAAAAGACTTTGAGGGTACAGGTGCTTTGTTGGATGCCTACAACAAACTGAAGACATCCATCCTCACTGCGCCCACAGTCGACAATTATGGCTACCTCGTCTCGTGCATCATGCTGGTTGAGTTGCTTTTGCCGGATCACCCCCAAGCGAATGAGATCCCTACGCTTGCCGCCCAATTCTACAAGTACAGTGCTTCGAATTTGCGCACGTTGAAGAAGCAGTTGCCCCAAAAAGCCACCGAGAAACTGGAGCGCATCATCAAGGACAGGAGCTCTTTATTATAATTATTAATTATTATATTATATTATATTATATTATATTATATTATATTATATTATATTATATTATTCTGAATATTCTGAATATTCTACTGTATTATAGTCGTTCAAAATTTTTGTTTGCTTAACAAAGTGATGTGGCCAGGACAGCAAGAGCAAGAAGGCACCCAAGGAAGACGCATCTTCCAACCATGGGGGCTCGAGTGCAGGGCCATCTGAGATGCCACCTCCGACAGAGACCCCGTCAAAACGTAGACGCATTTCCGTAAAGAAGCCGTGAGACACTTCAGTCAACGATCCACAAAGTTCCAAAGAAGTGGATCAGATTTAGGCTTAGATGATCTTAGATGATTTCGGCCACCCGAATCTGGGCTGGCGACTGTAGCATACGGCCCGAGCGATTAATAATTTGTAATATTTGTTCTGTTCTGTAATTCTGTAGTGTTGTTACGTCTCAGGTCTGTTTGCAGGTGAAGTTTCAGGTAGCGGTAGAGAGATCATTTCATATTTCTGGGATACTGGGCTTCAGATTGCATCGGCTTGCGCCCCTGAGGGAAGAATCGGCGGCAGCCTCCCCCCGGACAACACTATTATCTCAAATTATTTCTATATTGTCTATATCATGTGTCATTATAGATGGTATATAGTCAGTCCTACAGTCCTACACTTTTAACTTTTAACTTTCAACCTGCATGGGGGACGGCACGCCAGCCTTCAAGAATCGCCGCGTATCGGCACGCTCTCGGCACCCACAGTGTATAGCAGTCCAGTGGCCCGGGCAGCACAAAAAAAAGGCATCAAGCAGCCTACAGCCGAAATAACTTGAAATAACTAACCATAAATCCTAAACCGGTTGCAAGTTTAGACTTTGAGCCCCGGGAACGCACGCCCAGTCGCGCCAGGACCCTGGGAGAAAACGCGAGCGCAACACACGGTTGTCGGATTCACGAGAACGTGCAGTGTGTCGGATGAAACGAGAGCTCGGGCTTGAATCAATGGACGATGTGGAATTCTCCCAGCCTCTGTCTTGCAAGTTTGTTCATTTTTGAAGTTCCCAGCTTATGATTGTCTGCATCCTGCATGTTGCATGTTGCGCTTCCTATTCATGCAGGCATACAAGCTGGGCACGTGGGCAGAACACCTCTTGGGACCGGTGTGTGACACATCGCCAGGAGGTCAATATTAACCTTCTGTTTTGGGAGATGAAGAAGCAGGAGCATCCATTGGACTTGGTGGTTTTTGACTACGCCAAGAGTGTTGAGCGTGGGAGCTACCGTGTTGATGGCTGGAGCCCTGCGTGACTTGCCCAGGTTCACAGTATGTTTAGACAGACCTGTGGGGCATGCGTGCGGCATGTGAGATACAGAATTGTTGTCCTCATTGCAGTCTTTAGAGCAGCCATTGTCCAGTGTCCAAATTAAGAAGTATTTAGGTCGCCAGTTGTTTGTTGTTGTCGTTGCTGTAGTTGCTGTAGTTGTGGTGTAGTTAGACTTTATAGTCTTATAGTCATAGTCATAGAGTCATAGTCATAGTCTTAGTCTTAGACTTAGTCTTAGTCATAGTCAGCACAGTCTGTTGTTGTTGTGGTTGCTGCAATTTTTGTTTTTGAATTTGTTGTGGTTTGTAGCGTTGTGCTCGGGATGGGGATCTCGATCAACATCTGAGGCTCTCCACGAACACCAAATTGTACCTCTTCGGATGTGGCAAGTTTTTGCGTGGAGCACACCTCCTGGCGATGCCGTGAGCCTACGCACGTCCGCATGATGGCTTGCTTGTGCAGAATTTGAGTGACATGTAACATGTAGTCTAGAGCCGTCTGCTTAGAGTGGAAACGAGGCAAGGCTTTGCTATTCGGTCCTCGGACCTAGA